GAATGTGTGCTCTTAAAATTGCCATAAACATGCCGTGTTGCTTGTTGTGGGATGAAAATTTAGCTGCAGAAGAATTCAGGGTGATTTGATAACCTGGATTACTACTGCACTGGTATACCCAACAATGGTGAAGTCTTTGTTCAAACTATCTCATGGAGTATTAATGAATAAACCAAGTCCACAATTAGTAGAAAATCTCGAGTTGTTTTCAATGTCAGATATTTTGAAATATGAATTTGAAAACTCGCAGGGAAAGCCAGGAGATTTATCCAGACTTTTCATCGACAATTCTCGGGCTGAAGGCACTAAGAGCAGAGTGACTGAATGTCTGTGTTGCTGTTTTACTGCTGTAAGGTTCATCAAAGTGCTGATAATACAGTAAATGTTTGATGTTTATGAATGAACCCTGCTATTGTTTAATTCATTGCCTCCTATATCATGCAGTACTGGGGAGAGTATTCAGGGGTTAATTCAGGTGGTTTTTAGTCGATAGAATTTTTTTTTCGAACCATATCCGTTCATATATGTTTAATAACAGTGTTTTTGTATATGTAAAAGAAAAATTTGAAAAGAAAGAAAAAAGGAAAGAACCTAAAAACACCCAAAAGAGATCAACCAGCTCATGCCACAATCTAACCTGGTGATACAACCGGCTGCAATATACCAACATGATTACAACTGCGAAAGGTGCAAGGACAGTTGCTATAGGAAGAACTCCCCCCATAACTCACATCTTTACGGCCGTCTAAGGGGGAGATGCACTACGGCCCCCAGACCATGATGTATGTGCACCTAACCGTAACGTCTCAGTGAGAAACAGAGTAGGCTTTGCCACACGCCTAGCGCGTCATAGACGAATCAGCGGTGGCTAGCCTTGAGAGCGAAGAGAAATTTAACGTATTTAAGCTTTTCCTGTTCTCGGGAGGCGGTCTCTAACAGCATATGCAAAGAAAACGACTAATAAGGCACACGCTTGGAAATGACAAGATTTAAAAGCCTAAACGTTTTTTACTGAAGTGTTTTTAGCGAGAAATTTTAGAGTTTTCATATACTTTTAGTGTTTTGAAACAATCCTTGTTGGTTTTTAACGTCGAAATAATCGTCATTCTCGAAAGGAAACTCAATAGAGCAGGGAAATTAAAGGGTCAACAGTAAACAGCGATAGTAGATCTTTACGATTGATCTTTAATCGGTTATGTTTGCGCTCTTTTATAATATCTTCTTAAATTATAATAAAAACAAGTTCCCGTAATGGATCTGAGCTTGAAAGATCAACAAATCCTCAAGACTGTTATCCAGTTTATTGTAGCCTTTGGTATTTGTCCCAACCTTTTTGAAGGAGTAGGTGCAGCCTTTAAACAAAGAACTGGTTTTGGTGATGCTTTGTATGCTGAGCAAGACATCAAGTGTCCAAAATGTTTGTATAAGTGTGTAGTGGTCTAGGTTAATTGTCTTGACGAGCTTTCAATGAGCGGAGAGATGTTGAAAAGCACGCCCGGCGCTGATGTTAAGTTTGGCTATAACTCTGGGTTCAGCTTATGTTACCTGCGGGGTTCGATTCATTCTGGCGAGGATTCGAATGTTCGCGGTAGGTTTGTCCACTTTCTCTGCAAGTGCCGTCCCAAACTTCGAAGTTATGCATTTGAAATTAAATCAAAGTTGGGAATATATAACAATTGAATGTGTGCTCTTAAAATTGCCATAAACATGCCGTGTTGCTTGTTGTGGGATGAAAATTTAGCTGCAGAAGAATTCAGGGTTATTTGATAACCTGGATTACCATACTGCACTGGTATACCGAACAATGGTGAAGTCTTTGTTCAAACTTTCTCATGGGGTATTAATGAATAAACCAAGTCCACAATTAGTAGAAAATCTCCAGTTGTTTTCAATGTCAGATATTTTGAAATATGAATTTGAAAACTCGCAGGGAAAGCCAGGAGATTTATCCAGACTTTTCATCGACAGTTCTCGGGCTGAAGGCACTAACGAGAATGCAGAGTTGACTGTCTGAATGTCTTTGTTGCTGTTTTACTGCTGTAAGGTTCATCAAAGTGCTGATAATACAGTAAATGTTTGATGTTTATGAATGAACCCTGCTTTTGTTTAATTCATTGCCTCCTATACCATGCAGTACTGGGGAGAGTATTCAGGGGTTAATTAAGGTGGTTTTTAATCGATATAATTTTTTTTCGAACCATATCCGTTCCATATATGTTTAATAACAGTGTTTTTTGTATGTAAAAGAAAAATTTGAAAAGAAAGAAAAATTCTGGAAAGAACCTAAAAACACCCAAAAGAGATCAACCAGCTCATGCCACAATCTATCCTGGTGATACAACCGGCTGCAATATACCAACATGATTACAACTGCGAAAGGTGCAAGGACAGTTGCTATAGGAAGAACTCCCCCCCATAACTCACATCTTTACGGCCGTCTAAGGGGGAGATGCACTACGGCCCCCAGACCATGATGTATGTGCACCTAACCGTAACGTCTCAGTGAGAAACAGAGTAGGCTTTGCCACACGCCTAACGCGTCATAGACGAATCAGCTACGGTGGCTAGCCTTGAGAGCGAAGAGAAATTTAACGTATTTAAGCTTTTCCTGTTCTCCGGAGGCGGTCTCTAACAGCATATGCATAGAAAACGACTAATAAGGCACACGCTTGGAAATGACAAGATTTAAAAGCCTAAACGTTTTTTAAGAGTTTTTAGCGAGAAATTTTATAGTTTTCATATACTTTTAGTGTTTTGAAACAATCCTTGTTGGTTTTTAACGTCGAAATAATCGTCATTCTCGAAAGGAAACTCAATAGAGGAGGGGAATTAAAGGGTCAACAGTAAACAGCGATAGTAGATCTGTACGATTGATCTTTAATCGGTTATGTTTGCGCTCTTTTAATATATCTTCTTAAATTATAATATAAACACAAGTTCCCGTAATGGATCTGAGCTTGAAAGATCAACAAATCCTCCAGACTGTTATCCAGTTTATTGTAGCCTTTGGTATTTGTCCCAACCTTTTTGAACGAGTAGGTGCAGCCTTTAAACAAAGAACTGGTTTTGGTGATACTTTGTATGCTGAGCAAGACATCAAGTGTCCAAAATGTTTGTATAAGTGTGTAATGGTCTAGGTTAATTGTCTTGACGAGCTTTCATTGAGCGGAGAGATGTTGAAAAGCACGCCCAGCGCTGATGTTAAGTTCGGCTATTACTCTGGGTTCAGCTTATGTTACCTGCGGGGTTCGATTCATTCTGGCGAGGATTCGAATGTTCGCGGTAGGTTTGTCCACTTTCTCTGCAAGTGCCGTCCCAAACTTCGAAGTTATGCATTTGAAATTAAATCAAAGTTGGGAATATATAACAATTGAATGTGTGCTCTTAAAATTGCCATAAACATGCCGTGTTGCTTGTTGTGGGATAAAAATTTAGCTGCAGAAGAATTCAGGGTGATTTGATAACCTGGATTACCATAGTGCACTGGTATACCCAACAATGGTGAAGTCTTTGTTCAAACTATCTCATGGAGTATTAATGAATAAACCAAGTCCACAATTAGTAGAAAATCTCGAGTTGTTTTCAATGTCAGATATTTTGAAATATGAATTTGAAAACTCGCAGGGAAAGCCAGGAGATTTATCCAGACTTTTCATCGACAGTGCTCGGGCTGAAGGCACTAACGAGAATGCAAAGTTGACTGTCTGAATGTCTTTGTTGCTGTTTTACTGCTGTAAGGTTCATCAAAGTGCTGATAATACAGTAAATGTTTGATGTTTATGAATGAACCCTGCTATTGTTGAATTCATTGCCTCCTATATCATGCAGTACTGGGGAGAGTATTCAGGGGTTAATTCAGGTGGTTTTTAGTCGATAGAATTTTTTTTCGAACCATATCCGTTCCATATATTTTCAATAACAGTGTTTTTTGTATGTAAAAGAAAAATTTTAAAAGAAAAAAAAATTTTGGAAAGAACCTAAAACCACCCAAAAGAGATCAACCAGCTCATGCCACAATCTAACCTGGTGATACAACCGGCTGCAATATACCAACATGATTACAACTGCGAAAGGTGCAAGGACAGTTGCTATAGGAAGAACTCCCCCCCATAACTCACATCTTTACGGCCGTCTAAGGGGGAGATGCACTACGGCCCCCAGACCATGATGTATGTGCACCTAACCGTAACGTCTCAGTGAGAAACAGAGTAGGCTTTGCCACACGCCTAGCGCGTCATAGACGAATCAGCTACGGTGGCTAGCCTTGAGAGCGAAGAGAAATTTAACGTATTTAAGCTTTTCCTGTTCTCGGGAGGCGGTCTCTAACAGCATATGCATAGAAAACGACTAATAAGGCACACGCTTGGAAATGACAAGATTTAAAAGCCTAAACGTTTTTTAAGTGTTTTTAGCGAGAAATTTTAGAGTTTTCATATACTTTTAGTGTTTTGAAACAATTCTTGTTGGTTTTTAACTCAAAATAATCCACATTCTGGAAAGGAAACTCAATATAAAGATTGAACGGCACTTAACACTTAGTTTGCTTAAATGTTTTGTTAATTTTGTGTTTAGTATAGCCGCTTGATTCGCCTGTACAATTTAGGCCTAAATTGTATGTATTTTTTTCACAAGTTTTTATTCATTCTGTTCAATCACTGTTTCGTTCACAATACCCGGTGGTAATTGAAATGTCCGGGCGGAAATAGTACCATGCAGGCATGCACGGTAAACGAGTTACTACAGGCAAGCACCTCTTTTACGAACACATGCAAGACAGAGGGGATGCAGGCATGAGGCATTTATCATCTATAGGATGCCCTAAATCAGTAAATCTCTCTCTTTGTCTTACTTTGTTCATTACAAATTGGCTGTTGTGAGTGTTTTAGTCACTCAGATGGCTTAGCCGATAAGGCTTCGTGTCGTGGTTCTTGAAAGAACTGTAAGTTTTGTCCTGGTGACAAATATTGCTGTAAATAATGACATAATCAAAATTTACGCAATTAATTCAACATTTTTGTTTAATATACATTATAAATAAAAAAATGACCAATTAAGATTTTTAAAGTCAATTGTGAGACTTTGAGTACGATCATGGTTGTGATGATTCATCTTGTTCCGAGGCAAATTTGAAACGTTTTGCTGGTGACGTTTGTGGATCTTCGAAGAATTGTTTTAAAGCATCAAGGGCTTGTCCACGATGAGATATCTTATTTTTTACGTCGGACTCCATTTCGGCATAGCTAAATAATCCAAATATGAGATAGACCATTGTCAGTATAGGTCCTCGGGCAGGAATCGAACCTAGTATGTACGCTTTTGCGATGCCGGTGCAATGCAACATACGGTGTAGCTTACGTTTTATCATAACCATCAGGTTGAAAACATGGATCCCAGCCAAATGTCCTAGGCCCTCTTGGTTCAACAATTGTACCCTAAATTGGAAAAAAACAAAAGGTTGATTCTTCAATTGCAATATGCAACTGTGTGAAACCAGGTGATATATGCAATGCAATCCTAAGAAAAAATACAAAACCAGTAAACATACACTAGTTTTTCCTTGAAATAACTCAACAGGTTTGTCAATGTCACCATCAGAATAAGCAAAGGTGCAAAGTGCGAAAGCTGATTTATCCTCCCAACCAGTGAGTAAGCGATGCAGACCTACATTTAGAATTGATGTTAAAACATCATCTATAAACCATGAGATGGTTTTGCTATTGAACTTAGCTCATGATTTAAGAACTTGTAATTAGATTATAAGCTACAGGGATTTCTATGAGATGATAGTTGATGAAGGTACTGTAATGCAAATGAAATTGACGTGCTAGCAACTAACCTAATTGGTTTAGGTTCTTTTGTGAAGAAAACATTGTTTCCAAACATTTTTCACCATATTTGCATGAAAGATGCTTTTCATCAAAAACCAAGTCAAAACTAAGCATTAATTATAATAAAATTCAAACATATTCAAACATACCTTCAGGTTTTAGCTTTTTAAGAAACCACTTTCTACAAAATATAAAATAATGATACGTTGCTTCATCATATATATATGCTCATTCATAAAAACCAGTCTTAATCATAATCTAAAGTTGCTTACATATATGGACCAGGCATTCCTCCCAAAGCATTAAAACACAAGCACGTATCTTCAACAATCACAGGAGCCCTTATCTAGAGAAATTGTGGTAGAAAGTTAGCAATTCAAGCCTGGAATGCAAAATCTCTCAAAATGTGAGTTCAGGGAGAGATGTAAATCATGTAATGCAGTCTATTTACTGTATTTACATTTGCCACAACATACTAATATTACAATACACAAAAAAGACGACATGGTATTTGATAGCCTTTCTCTAAAACCAATATTAGGTTAGTTAGTAAAGCAAGTAAAAGTTTAAACATTATTGACTATCCCAAAGCCCTGTTTACACTTTCTGCTGCGACTTTATATGTGATTTTCTTCTTTTGACAGATGTGAAGAGTAATAAGTCACAAATGCTCTGATGTCTACATACTCCTATTTGAACATTCGTATCTAATTCACTCACTCATATCCATCAAACGAGGACAATCACAGCAAAAATTGCAAGTGTAAACAGGCCTTAATACTTTCCACATTATTTCCAGTCTGGCATGCCTGCATACCCGCTGTGCTGCCACTTTACATTTCTCTATTGATATTTCATCTGGTTCTCCTTGAAATTCTGGTACTAGCAAATAAAATTTACACAATTACACTTAAATAAAAAAATTTATATGATTTAAAAATTCACAGCTTACAATCAATATTTTTCGCTTCTAATTTCCAAGGGAAACTTTCACCAAGTATAGCTTTCACCTATAAAGTGAAATAAATCTCAAAATTTCAAATCTAATCTACACTAATGCATGGGCATTAATGCTGAACTGCAGACCTTTGCATTGTCTACCATGGTAACAAAAGTGCTAAATTGATAATAATGATAATAATGATATTCTTGGAATTTTGCATGGTGGATATATAAATCATCAGCTTACAGGAACACTATGTGTATTTATTACATGCAGAGCCTTCGGTCCATGAACCTGGGTCTAATTATCAGTGTAAATTAAAAAAGTTAATTTTTTGTCACGTTTTTGCTCGCAACTATAAAACAATTCTAAAAAGTGAAAAGTTGTTCTAAATAACCTTCCAATTAAATAATGGGTGTGCAGAAAACAACCCGAATAGCGTTTATTGAGAAGAGAAACTAGCGTATATTGAATATGTAAACACCAAACAATTGATCAAGACGAAAAGCCACTGGACAGAGCCTGGCACATGTTTCCTTTATGAGCACTATTTGGGGTTAACCCTGGTTTGGCCCTTACTCCTTAGTTGATGAACCATCAGTGGTGCCTTACCTCCTTTTATAGCTTATTTGAATTTCCACCATCAGTGGTTCCTTACCTCCTTTAGCTTATTTGAATTTCCAGTTACAAAAACCAACGTCTTTTTCCCAGAAGAGCTCATGATTTTCGTTAAAAATTAGCAGTTTACTATCGTCTAAATTCTCTCACTATCGCTGGCCATATTGGATTTCAATGTGGCGCGCAGACTAACTGAGCTGTATATATTATTCCTTGGCGGAGTGCCTCACCTCCCCCCCCCCGCTCTTACGCACCTCATTCCAGGCCACCAAACCTCGATGATGGTACCTGTATGAAGCTATAATTTATAAACACCCATAACATTTTAAAAAAATGCTCTACAATTCTGTTTTACAATTTAAGCTAATGAACGTTTAAGCTCTCTGTCATTTATTCCCAATGAAAAACATTGAAAATACGTCGCTCCACGGTATTTGAATGTCGGAAGATAAAGTTTTTGATTTATTTTTTAATTGTCTCAGGAAGTCGGCTGGCCGTGGGAATAAGTTGTCAGAATGGCGTGAGAAAGTACTGGCTGGGAAAGGTATAAATAGAGAGGATCGGCACGATATTGAACCATGAAAGTTGGTCCCACAAACTATGGTAAAAAGCTCCTGATATTTCATATTTGTGTCATGAATCTGAAACAAATATCCACAAACCACATCATTTGACTAAACGTCCTTGAGTTTGCCTCTTTCGTTGGCTTGGAAACAACTTTACTATTATACTAGATAATAGACATCCAACTGAGCATTTGTTCAAAACTATTTCTGGCAGAGCTGAGATGTGAAGAACAGTGAATAATTAAAGGTAATTATGAAATTCTTTGCTTATGCCGGAAGACGTGAATACTGAATATACAGGAATACGTTTGTAACACTTCTGGTTTCATAACAGGTATAAAAATATAAACAAAAAATATCTCAGTAAACCGAAATTGATGAAGCTAATTAACGGATAGTATGTAATATCTTTGGTGGATTATTTTGTTTTCCGATCAACCATAACTGGAATTTATTCAGTGAGGTATGGACCGTATATGGCGCCTATTTTGTTTACATTGGTTATTAAATTTTTATAAATTGAATTTTTCATGTTGAAAGGGTACACTTTATACTATGATCATCTGACTCTTTGGATCGATCATCGATATAACTTGATTCCAAAACCAGAACTGATCATGTTGGAAAATCTTAGTTGGTTGTATAATCGTTAGGCAAACTCATCATAATTTCATAAACCGGCGTTCATGTATTCAACTTGGCAAATTGCAGAAGTCGATTTGTTGTAGCCAGCTATTTGCGTCTTATATTTATTACATATAGTCTGTCTAAACGGATATATATTACTAAAATTACCAAAGACCTAAGAAAAATTCAAACCTAATTTGCCCCCTCACTGATTCCTTGGTATTAGCGTATATAGACCGTCTCTATGAAGCAAAATGCGATTATAGTAGTGCGTTAGTAATAAATAATGATAGCTATATAGAGGTGCCAGTACGTGTGACCATCACAGTCATTAATATAGTCTTGTACTCCGCAGTTAGTATACTCAGCAGTCAGAATCTCTCTGCACGCGTATAACAATGTCAGGCTGTTTCCGGGTTGATTAAAACTGGATTGAGCTAGGAAACAGTGTTATGGTTCAACCCACTTGGTTTTCAACATCGTTCAATAAGAAGATTATTAGTTTTGCATGTCATAGCATTGACCGAACAATATATGAAATATAAGAGATACATGAAATATCTAGGATGCTCTGTAGGGTTAGTGTTAGGGCTAGTATAGTCAAATACCTGTGACACAGTTAATTACCACCTATCATACCCTGAGATAACGTAAATAGGGTGTTGGATGATAATCTTTTTACCCTTAGAACTGACCTTGAGATGCTATTCTTCTTTCGTGTATTTTGAATTTTTGCATATCGCCATTGTCTTTATAGTGCATTACCGAATGCAGCCTCTGTTCAGTGCAATCCATGTTATGAATTCTCTGATATTTGTCTGGTAATTCTCGTGGTTTCGGGTTAATGCAGGCTTGGTTGCCTGTTATTCTAGTGTGGTTTGTCTCAATCTTCGCCAGTACATTCGCGGTCTTAACATGCATTTATAAACATTTAGCTCACGGGAATAACAGGTTGGTGAACTTGGTTGGTTTAGTGGTTGGTTAGGTGCATGAGGTGGGTGGTAGGATGATGGATTGATGGTATATCTTAATAGTGAAAATAAGTTGTAGTGACTGATTTTAGAAACTCCATTTATTCCGTAATATAAATTGTGATACTTCTTAAGTTGTGATCACAAACCGCCTATATAGCACTCCATCTTGTTCAATGTTTATATACTACACACTGGGTATTTTTCTTCATCTTGTTTGTGAGACAACATGCATGTTTATTAACGTATCTCATGTCTCTTGTATCTCTTATAGTTGTGCAGGTCGATTTTCAGTCATATATCAATGATTTCGACTTAAATAAATACTAATGCACAGAAGTGCAATTTCCTTACCAACTCAACTGATTGCATCTGACGAACTACAATGTACATGAAGCTCCCAGCTTTCAACAAGTTCTTTAGATTTAAGTGAATTTATAATCATGCATAACCTGCAATAATATCGACACTTTCTGCTGCGTATAGGTGGAAGAATATTCAGCACAAATATCTGTCTCCCTGGATCTTATTAGCTCTTTTAACTGCAGCATTTATGGTCGGAAATGTATGGCTGCTATCAAGCAGCAAGGAATCTGATGTTGATAGGTAACTGCATGAGTAAAACTTTACTGACAACATTTGTACCCTTGTCATGGTGAACTGCTCCACTTACTCATCCCCAACCATCATTCCTTTAATTCTTTAAATATTTGGTCTTAATTCTATTTTTTTTAGGATAGTGAGACACGCCTGGCTTTTTATTGGCTTATTTGACGGAATATTTCTTGTTTTCTGCATTATAACAGCTCTTGTATGGAGCAAATATAAAGGGCGAATGTCAAAAAACAGGTACGTTGAACATGGATTTTTGTCGTGGTTGTTGTTGCCACTTAATTATCGGACAGCTTGAAACTTCTACTCTTTGTAGAATGGTTGAAGATATAAAATACGAGACGCAATCAACTAGATTGAAAAGGATTCCTGCTCAGGAAAATTATGAGTCAGCCACGACTTTGTATAAAACTAACGAACAAACTTTGAACACAACTCAGCAAAAAGTGAATTCAAACTCTGATTTGAACTTCTGTCCAAATGACGATATTCTCATTTTGAGAAATCTTTCTAAACCGAATGAAGAGTTTTGTTTAGATTTATCCAACCCCAATACCCCTGTAGTTCAAAGAAAATCTCTGAATTATATTGAAGATCGTTTTAAAGATAATATTTTAATGAAGAAAGAAATTGTCAACCTCAACGATCATGCATATGTTGTCACCTGTGACATCGAATGCTAAAGAACAATATTACAAGAAACAACTTTCAACATCAACTTTCAAGGCAATGCAATTAACAATAAGCAAAAATCTAAACAACAATGTTGTGTGGGATAAAAGCAGTTTAGAAACTTTCAACTTATTTCCAAAACAATTTCTGTGTTACAAACTAGCTCATATATATCATATTTGACGTGTAAACCATTTTCATAACATTGTTGCGTTGCGAGTTGACGTTGAAAATTGTATCGTGTAACATTACCTTAATTTTAAAAGTCTGAACTGACAGTACTGAACAGTGGTACTGAATTGACCATTGGTGGCCTGGGTTGATGAATTATAATTATCATAATTAGTCTGAAAACCCAACGCTCTACAACATCATTTTGAATTATCCGCATGCAAAAACACCGCAGAAATTGGTGTTTATGAAGTTTCAATCCAGAAAATCACTGTTTCACAATTATGCATATCTGTATCACCATAAAAAGAATACTATTGAATAATTTGAATATGTTTGATGCGTAATCAGGATCGCAAAATACATATTGCAAAATACAGACGTCAGTTCTCTGGTTAAAATATTTTCTCCACCCGTTGAAGACTGTAGACTGACTACAATTGAACAGGTTAAAAAAGTTCAAGTCAGTTTCCGCGGTGTCGCATGCAAAGAGAAAAATCAAATGTGTCATAATAATAGACCGAGAGTAGACACGCGTACACGCGCGAGCGTCACGAGAACGTAAACATTTCTGGGCTCCTATGAACTGACCTGCAAAGCCTTTTTCAAGGTCACAACTTCGGCTCCAACAGCGTTTGAATTAGTATACATCAGTTTAGGTAACTTTTTCGGAAATTGAAATATTAGAATACTGCATGCCGAACCATTTATTCCGTCTCCCAACCAACCATCTACAATACTGCACGCATAATTTTCAGTATTATATATTTTAATTTAATATTACGTATATATTCTAATAAACATTTAAAATTAATATAAAAATAATAATCCTAGTCAATGATACCTAAAACTCACACCATCCCACAAAACGTGAATTATATTGCCATGCATATATTGCCACAAGCGAGTCACCAAATATGTTTTCGGTTGTTTTTATAACGTGCTAACTAAGATGAAAGAGCTATTACAATGATTATGTTTGCTAACTTTAATAAAAAACTTGCAATTACCCGTTTCAGTCAATTATTTAGTTAAGAGATCAAGAACAACGCCTGAAAATTTGAAGGTTGGGCGGCAAGTTGGGGAAATAATAGCGACGCCATCATTTACTCGGCTGTGTTGCAGCTTTCATATGCGTCGTTGTTATGATTCGTTTCTAATATGCTTCTGATTCTGCATGCTTACAAAATTTATTCCTAATCAAAATGAGAACAAATGTTATTTTTCCCTGGTCTCACATTCCGACAAACAGACTAAAAGCCAAAGGAGAAGGTGGATATTACCTTCAATGTATGTAGTAGTTGTCAACATTTTAATATACAACAGTATGTCCATGGACGATTATAAACTAATGTAGGTCACTCAGAAACATTATTTTTTCTAAACAGTTGCTCTGAAACGTACGCAAATTACAAGGAAATACGTACGTGCTCAAGTTCATGCTCTGTATTAAAATTCAGTACAACATTCGACGCCGGTTGAATAACACTTGAATACCCCTGATATAACTGCTCCCATTACTCTTTCGGAAGCAAACAAACAAGTACTTAAATAAAATCAAGCGATGCTGTCATTGTTTCACCAAACAATAAAACACTTTCACCCCCACAAATAGCTATGCAAAGCACGTTTAGATTCGATGATGTGGCTAAAACTTGTTTTAGCTTTAAGTTCGCGTGCCACAAGTTATCTCAAGTGTTCATCTTTGCCTTATACATTGTAAGTGTGGTTTAGGAAGTTTCAACCCGAAGGAAAAGGAAAATTAGCAACAGCGTAATTGGATAATTAAAGATCTGAAGTGAATAACAATTAACAATCGCTTGTTACAATGAATAGTTCCATACAATGCGGGGGTCACATTTGGTTGCACATTTTAACTGTCTCTTCTGTATGAATATTATATTTTAATATAAATGACTTTACTATCAGCTGGGTGACAGATCAAGTCAAAACGTGTATCATCAAGCACTTTGATTCCACTTTCATTTTCAACGCGTTATCAATAAGGTAAGCTAATGTTTCGTACCTTATAGGGTGGTCAACATTATGGGTGAAACAGATGTCGTATAAAATCAGAACTTATAGGTTAAAATTAATCCTTTGATAGCATGCAATGAGTTATTTGAAAGCACCGTCAATGTTATGACTTCATCTACCACATTGAAATGAGATATAATGAATTTTCTTGCTTCAAAGTTGATCACTAATGACTACAAAGCTTTTTAACCGTCATTATAGTGTTGTTTCGTTCATATGAGAAACTATTCGTCAACACATATTCATCGCTTTCAATTTCAGTTTCAATTTCAATCAGATTAATATCGTAGTCTTGCGGTATGATTTGGCCGGTCAGGATAATAAATTAGGCTGTATGCGAATATTCTGTCCCGGGAAAGATTTTGTCAATCGGATGAACCTAATCGACTCTGGATGGGAAAATCTTAGGCGGCCGGACTACCTCGTCTTACCATTTCCCTGTGTGTGATTCTGGGAAATTACGATTGACTTTATCTTTATGATTGCTGAATGTGTACATAGTCATAGTTGATGTAGATTAAACGATTCAGAATCTACTGATATGATTGAAGATTCAAGACGAAGTAAAAAAAATTCCTGTTTTTGCTGAACAATGGCAGTGCAGATTGAAGTGGCTCATGACGTAATAAAATTAATGTGAGAAGTGTCTCAAATATAGAACTTTCTTGATTGTGAAAGCTGAATATAGCTTCAATGGTTATATAATTTATTGACCGATATGATTAACGTTTTCGACCAGCCAATTCTCATGCAACAAAACGTACGTTAGAAATTGGCTATTTAGCCCATGTTTAAAAACTGCTTACTATTAATTTTAATGTCAAGTTAACGTCGTCACTGTCAAATTTCTCTAACGAATTTCTTATCTGATTTGAAAAACTATTTTCATTTTCGCTTTCTCTCCTTTAATGTTAAATCCTGAAGGCTTCCACCGCACCAGTGTACGGAAGGTTCTTATTTTTTTAGGCTAACAAAATTATGGACACGCTATACTATAGCTACATACCCAAGACTACGAATTAATTTTGTTTTCTTTTTTAATCTACCAAAGGCAAAGTGTATTTGTTTTTGTTGAGTGTTGGCGTTGGCGTGCATGGCGGTACAGCCATATCTTGTAAGCCTAGGACTTGAGCTTCAAAGCATTAAGGCAACAAACAACATTGTTGTTGCCGGTTTACATTGTTGTCTTGTTTAAAGCTCACATGCAGACACAGGCATATGCCATAGTTGTTATTGATTGCATGACTTGTGCCACGGTTGTGGTTTAATTTCTGTAAAAGTTTTACCGCTAATTCAAAAAAGCAGTCGAATGAAATGAAGATTATACTAAAAAGCGTAGGTCCGATTCCTGCCAGAGGACAGATAATTGAGTCATTCTTCTTTCAACTGTTCCTGGCTTGAATTTACTAGGCAAATTGAGAAACTGAGAAACCATAGTTTACCGGCGAATCGTGTCATCGTGACGTTTCGTCAGTTCTTTCGATCAGAGACGTACATGCAGGGATAAAATCAAAAATGACAATGTCATTACGCATCATGTCAATCAATACTACATTTTACAAAATACCTAAAAAGTTTCTAAAGAACTAAAACCTCAAGCACAGGTAAATAATAAAGAAGTTGAAGTAAATTTTGCCTGCCGCCAAAGGCTAATTCTTGGCGCAAACTAAACTAAATTGGTTCCTCACCGACCTCACGTGCAAAACTATTTGATGCTTTAGGCCTTTAATCTTTGGTATCTTTATCTGAATTATCTTTTCAGATCTTGCAAGGATAAACTACTGTTTGGTTCAGACATACTCAAGGTATATATAATGAGATACTGAAATGCGTGATATTCAGGAGTATTTACCAATAAAGGCCATAGCCATGGATACACTGCATGTATTTTCTTTCCGTTGACTGTTATGTAAATTAATGCCGATGATTTCCGACTAAAAAGCTTTTGCTGACTTTGCTGTTTGGCCAGTCTATCGTAAACTGATGAAAACTACAATTCATTTTTGCAAACCGTTAAAATCATCTCAAACTGCTATCATATATACAGTGTCTATATAATTCAGACATTTATTAACTGTAATTTATTCATCAAGCATCAAAAATCCTAACCACCTGCTGCCCGTGGTTTCATCCAATCTTTTCGCTTGCTTGTAAATGTAAGCTAGCTGAAGCAAAAATATGATATAGCGTTGTGGGATTTAAAAATGGTCTTGGATCTATCGTATTCTTTTATGGTAAAAAATATTGTTATTTTTTATGTCAATATAATTAGAACTGATACTATAATATACTGTCAGCTATATAGAATAGAAATACACAACGCTCTTTGTGAAAATTGTGAAACAAATGTAGCTAAAATTTCGTCAACATAAAAACGATATTCAAAGAAGAAAACCTTTTGCCTATGACATGCAGAGGTCAGTGCTAAATTAACTGACATGGACCATGGTAAATTTTTTTTCAGTCGTATTAAACATAAATATACTAGAGTCTAGACACTTTCTATAAGGCAATGTAACAGAGTTGGCATGCACGCATGCATGTATACAAAATTTATAAAAGTTGGTGTAAATTTATGCATGCATGTAGCTAGCTATATACATAGTATTCATTATAGTATATTATGATTATATCAGTGTCATCATTAGCAATACACAGAGTAATATCTGTTTTTTACTCGCCTCAATGCATGTGGATTAGTCTAACTGTCTATAAGGAACACCTGAACCGAATATATATAATATAATAGACCCATAGTTAATGCTTGCATAACAGTGCATGCAGTACATTATGTGACTGTCAGTTATAGAACACGCCTGTATGACTTGTGATACCGGGTATATACAAAACTTCATTTTCCATAGATTTTCACGCACTTACAAAAGTTATAATTAATATTTTGAAAAATAGAGCTACGACGGCATATGATATTCTTCCCCATGTATTCATGTCCATTCTTCTCCATATATTAGTCGTGGCATGCCGAAGACTTATATAATATAGACATGCACAACCACAGGCGCACGGCCCTATATAGTACATGCATTCAGTTTAAAAAACGTCCATACATTTCCATTATTGGTATTGCAATTGTCATTGGTTGCTTAAAATTATCTGACTAAAACATAGTAGCCATATAGCTGTATCATCAGTACATAAAGCGTCCATATTTAATATTGATTTTATCGAAAGGTAAACATTTCACCATGCAGACTTCTGCAAACTATGTTTATTTGTATCACCTCCGGCCAGTCCAGTGCAATATAATTAATAAACTATTCAAGTGTTGGGGTTTTTTACCGCTAGTTGCTTGCGACGTGATAATGTGCATGGCGGTATTAAAGGCTTGATCTAAGCGTTAACCTCACGGGTGGTCAATGACAATGCATCTTTAAAAAACTAGGAGATACATGTCTGAGACCGAAAGTCAAAATGAGGCATTTCAACTAAATACCAGACAAATTCACGAATATAATATGTATAAAACATGTCTATACCAGGTTATAATAGATTTTTCCCTCCTCGCCCTTTGGACAATTATTTTTGTATATTTTAGACTTTTTGAAACTTGACGTGAACTGGTTCTGACTATATAGAACAAGTTGCTTGCTAGATCGTGCAAGACATGCTGTGTTTGGTCATTTGTCTTGCACTGTTTACAAGCTTTGCAGGTAAGACAGCACAATTGAGAAATTTATAATTTATTTTCGACTTTGACTTTGTCTTTGAATACCGCGTGCATATAAGTGCATGTGATTGCATGCATGACTATATTATTATGACGGTATATAGCCATAGGCCCTATCTATCTTTTATTCTCTGTCTATATATTCTCATTAAACCGTTTTCATGATTGAAGAACCATGCAACATGAGCCGCATTGTTTTATTGCATGTTCTTTTATATTTTATCTCATTTTGGTTTAGTAAAAAGTCAAAGGAATTCACTGCACATGATCTATACCTGCTTGAGTCTGTTTCATGCATTTTAACTTTACTCCCAAATAGAACTGATTGAAATTTCTTGTTAATCATTCTCATATATTACTTGTGATTTGAATGCATGGATAACCATTTTAACAAAGGTTGCGCTGAGGACGTTTTAAAGAGTAGCTTAAAAACGAGTTACCAGATGTTTCCATATAGCCATGCAATTGAGATATAATACTTAAAAAAATAACTTTGTAATTGATTGTGATGAAAAAATTGTTTTTACGTCAAAATCTTAGCAGCCATGCAGAGACAATTGAAGTGTTGTCGTGGGCAGCTCAAACAAATTTTAATTTTTCGTGGGCATGCAAGTTACAGTTGAATTCCTATACATATACAACTGTGCAAAAACAATACGTGTGTGTTTTGTTTTATAATTACCAAAAGGCATCAATCCCTATTTGGCTATCAAGTCGAATGATGTTTTCGTAACCATGTAACGATGGCCTGCTGTTTGCAAACTTCATGCACGCGCGTCATCAGTTACGTGACGATTTCCAACATACCATCTTTAAATATTACTCATGACAATAACCCCCCCCCCGTGTATAGATGCACGTAAGGCGTTTAAATTATATATAAGATCCACAATAATGTTAACACACGGATATACGCATGCGAGCGAGTTTCAACTTTTCCCGAATTCCCGAAAAGTTTGTTTTGAACTTTGGCAATTCAGTTTTATTCATAGACTTATAGGAGCGGACCATTAGGAAAGTGGGAGTAAAATATTTGTTGTTCCGATACAATACTACAAGCAATTTTTCCTACACCAGATTTCCAACGCGAATTAGAATTTAAAAGGCGTTTTGAGTGTCTAAGGTTTGACTTGAAGAATGAGCGTAAGAAGAACACATTGTGTTCAGCGATGCGTTCCCAACGGCGCCATAATCTCATAAGAAAATTAAGTTTTCAACAGTCTTTTATTTTAAAAATTGCATGCAACACTAATAGATATTAATATTGTAGTCAAAATTCTTTCAGAGTATTTACAGCACATAATAATGAATAGTTTATAAAATGCAAAGAGCTGAACCTTCATAATTAGATTTAAGAACGCAACTTGTATATAGTTTTATATATGTATATAGTTTCATTCTAAAACTCGAATTTTCGAATTCAACTGATTTGTGAGCGGCTTCGAATTATAGACATGTTTCTTCAGATTTCATTTAATTCATTGTTCTCTAATATCAGATGCCCTTCCCTTCCTTTATTGATTTTCTTTTTTAACTCGTGTCTCGTGACGCAGGTGAAAATAATTTTTTTGATTAACAGATGCTCTCCCCCCGGAACCTTATGTCCTCTATTCCAACATCACAAACCTTCATATTTTGGATTTAAACACCCTGACACGGACTAATGTGTTGAGAGGACTGGACAGAGCTGTACCTATAGGTATAGACACTAAGCAACAGCACATCTACTTTGGCGAGCACACCCTGGGCCTTATTTATCGTGTGAATTACGATGGGACGAGCAAAACACTGATAATGAAGGATGTTGTGTACGTTGAGGGTGTGGCAATAGATTGGATCGGACGTAAGATGTACTGGACCACTTATAAATCAGGGACGATCGAGGTCGCAACGCTTGATGGGAAATTCAGAAAAGTTTTGCTAAATACTGGTCTTGAATACCCTCGTGGCATGGCAGTTGATCCAATTGCAGGGTGTGTATGAAAGATTCCATTACATATGAATTATAATTCAATGCACTCGCTAGATAATAAATATTTTTTAATATCTAGATATCTCTTTTGGTCTGACTGGGGAGCCAAAGCAGCTGTTGAAAGATGTGATTTAGACGGTACTAACCGTGTTGCTTTGGTCAAAGATAACATCACGTGGCCAAACGGTGTTACCCTGGATACCTCTGCAAGACTTGTCTATTGGATCGACGCGTATCATGATAAAATAAGTTCTATTGACTATGACGGAAATAACAGAAGAATTATCTTTGAAGATAAATCATTGGCTCTTTCACAGTTCCATGGATTTGACTTGGATATCACAGGAGATTCAATCTATTATACAGACTGGTTGACTAATTCCATCAATGGCATTAACATAAACACTGGAGTCATGTTCGTAAACATAACTGTACCAACTACAAACTCGATCAAGGGGGCTATGGGACTGCGTGTGATTGACTCTTCAAAACAGAAAGATGGTATGCAGAAAAATATCTTGATTGAGGACAGAAATGCTGTCAAAATGCCTTATTGGCTGGGCTTACTAGTTACTGCTGAATACAGCTAACATTGTCTGAAATAGTTTATAATACAATTTATTTTTGCACTCAAGCTCATAATCCAGCTGATTATAAACTTATGGTGAATAAATAAGCCCGATTTGGATAATAACAAGAACTATTACTATTACTATTTTAGGCGTTACCAATTGTGGAAGTAATAATGGTGGATGTGAACATTTATGTTTCCATAAGGTTCCATCTGGAACATCGTGCGCATGTCAGCTGGGTTTTAAACTGGCAAATGATAACACAACGTGCGAAGATGCTTTCAAAGACGGTAGGTTGAAAAGAAATGAATTGTTCCATCATGGAGCGTATGCAATTATCTAAATATTAGAGGGCAGCATGTAAAGGCTGGTTGTAAGACTTTGTCATAACTCATAACTCGTCGTATTAGGTTGTATTTTATAATTAATTGTGGTCGTTGTGATACAGTAATTAATTGTGGTCGTAGTGATAACAATGATTTGCAACGAATTGCATCATGTGATTTACATGACGTATCAAAACGAGCGGCGTAAAAGCCGACTGCTGACCTAATCTTTGCAAATAAAGGCCCAAGAACAGGTTGTATATAATCTGAATAGTTTGTTTTGAATATAGTTGAGTATTGTATACCCCGGCCTGGCGGCAGAGACACCTTAACAATATGAAAACGCAAAATAGGAAACACGTCCAAAAGTGGCTACGTACGTGGTAGTTTTAAGCCCCGTTACACTACAGTCAATTTATTGGCACGGCGCGGCTGAAATGGGTACCCGTGCCCAATCTTATTAGTTCTCAGGCTACTAAAACAAAGGCCGGGTACAGATAAGACGGGCACGGGTACCCATTTTAGCCGTGCCGTTCCAATAAATCGAGTGTATAGTGTGAGCTTTAGTTCTGCAAGTTAATAGTTACCATTCTCAATTTTTGTTTTAAAGAATTCCTGATGTTTGCTGACGCTGACGCTGGTAAAATCTACCAAATGCAGCTGGACAGCGTGAATGTAAAACCAATTGCAGTCCCATTTGATAAAAACACCAAAATTACCCGCCCCGTGGCGTTGGAATATGATTGGGTTGAAGATCGTGTGTACTGGACGGATGTTACCCTTAAAATCATCTGTAGGGCATTCAGAAATGGAACAGGATTCGAGGTGTTGTTCAATGATATTGGTGTGGCAGATGGTCTGACCATAGATCTTGCTGGTCGCCAGTTATATAACGCACAACAACGTTGAAACTTCTAAGCTGGATGGGTCGTTTAGGAGGACTTTAGTCCGGTGGAATTTAGACCAACCACGGGATATTATTGTGGATGCGATTGATGGGTAGGATGTAAATTTAATGAATGATTACCTTGGATTTTAATTGGACTACATCTAAAGAGCTCTTTTGTTGAAAAGACCTTATCTAGATAACAGGCTCTGTTTGTAAAACCGCGCGGTCCAACATTGCATCACAATTATTAACTCATACACCTGAACAATTTGTACTATCATACCACTTTCATTTTGAACGAAATATGGAAGAACTAAATTGAGTTCAGTCTGAAATATCGCCTATTCGAACAGTCTTGACCTAGTAGCTTAGTTGGAAGAGCTTTAACTGGACTAACTAACCAAAGGTCGCGGGTTAAATTCTCACCATGTTTAAGCTAATTTTTCAGCTTGCCTCGTTGGTAACTCAGAGTAGCACCATCACATGAATGCAACAATTATTAAGTTAATAATTGTTGAATTGTTGCCAATCTCATTAAATAATTCTGTGAAACGTTTTTAAATGGAATTTAATCTCGGCGATTATATAACCCGTCCAAATAATGGATCAAAATTTGAAGGAAAGAAATATCTTATCTTCGAATGTGCATAAAAAATTATGAATCCCAAAACTATTATTCCGTATACTGGTCAAAAGGATTATAGTTTTCAGCGCCCGAGATTAAGCTGGCAACAATTTTTTTCTTTTCAGTTATATGTACTGGACTGATTGGGGAAAGTTACCAAGAATCGAGCGTGCCTACATGAACGGAGAAAACAGAATGGATCTGGTAAACACTGCTCTTCGTTGGCCAAATGGTCTCACCATTGATCATGTTTATAATAAGTTGTATTGGGTCGATGCTTATGAAGATAATATTGAAGCAATTGACCTCGCCACACTCGAACGAAAGGTTGTGTTGAACAAAAAGACATTATTTTGTAAGTTCAACATTTTTTAAAATTGTTCTTCGTCATTGGCTCCAAGAATACTTCACCGATTGTCGTTCAGTGATCATTAATGAAATGCTATACTCTAACGTCGCGTCGTTTTTCGTTAACGCGATGCGATTTTCCCGATTTTTGAAGTATTTAGAAGCAAACAAAACGTGGTAGAATATACATTTAGAATATACTTTCATATTAGCTACTTATATCGATAGTGCATGCATTTAGACTCACCTAGCGTCCATGAGATTCAAAATATCATAGCATACAGGTATAGTGGTATTTGACCGAAAAATACCGAGGATTTGGGTGTTTCAGGCATTCTTAACCCCCCTCCCTGGCTCGCCTGAAAATGAAATGCCATGCCTTGGCACAAAATTTAGATTCGTGTTATTTTTAGTTGGCTTCTTGTTTGGTCTTACAACCGAAGTGAACCATCCCTATGGCTTGACAATGTTAAATGATCATCTGTACTGGACAGACTGGAGATCTGACACAGTTTATCGTGGTGACGTAAATACTGGCGCAAGCATAAGAGTAATGGCGACTAAGCTGGGCAAACCAATGGATATACATGCATATAGTTCCATACCAAAACAACGTAAGTGCGTGTTTTAGAAATCTCCAGTGTACCAAAAAACCCCAATGTCTTGTTTCAGTTTTCCCAGAAACATAAGACAATTGAGAGAAACTGTAAGAAGAGAAGAGGGTTTCCTTTGATAGGGAAAAAATACAGCGGAAATATGGCATGGCTCCCAACACTTTAAAGCATCGTGCAAAAGCTGTAGCTAGGTAGGTTGATTAACATTTAACTTTATTTTTAGAAAAACGGCTACACTACACATTTTCGTTCCCACAACGTGGCAGCAATTTCACCTGCATCTCATCTCGATCATGTCCTGTAACTCCTGTTATCAATGCACCTCCATTATGTCCGTCAGGATACTCACACGTCAGGGAGAACTCAAAATGCGGGTTGAACTGTCGAGATATCGTGGGTTACACGTGGCGATGCCCGTGCAATGACTGGATGTCGTGTGCTGTGAAAGAAAGATACTTGTGGGGCTGTGCTGCTGGTTATTACAGCAGTTTTAGGGTTCGAGAGTGTGTCCAAGGTTTGTTTCTGTGAAACTTTTCTTGATATTCTTTATATAATACTAGCTATATATTATATTTCAGTAGTATATCTGAATTACACGTATTCATTTTTCAGTCCTATTGATTTCAGTTCTTTATAATTCATAACCGAACATTAAATAATTTTTTCCATCTTCGTTAGATGTAAAAGCTGGACGCTGTCCTTATGGTGGAGGCAACGGAACGTCGTGTGTCAGTGACTCAGATTGCCCGAGTAACGATAAATGTTGTAACTCGAAGTGTGCAACACCAGCAACAATAGGTAAGAACGATTAGTTTTTCGTTTATTGTGTAATGGCACTGGATCGGTTGACTGGTATATAACGTAATATGAATTTGAAATCAGTGTCCTCGTCGGAAACTTACTTTGAATTAATCGGAAATTTGTTTAGCTACATTTTCAGACTAAGCCAGTCGCAACTAGTCCGGATATCAATGCATTCTGATTGGGTTACTAAAAAATATTTGCAGGGTAAACGAGATTCCTCCAAATCCTCCTTGTTCCTTTGGTGTTTAAATTATTTCAAATTTTGCTTGCCATTTAATTTATTCAGCCGCTCATCCATGCCAGACAAACAACGGTGGTTGTGACCAGCTGTGTTTCGGGATTCCTGGTGGACACAAATGTGGTTGTAGAAATGGTTATAGCTATGACAAAACTCAATCTAAGTGCTTAAGTGACACAAGAACTACAATAAGACCAACCACGCCTCCTGTTAGAAGTGAGTGGAAACTTAAGTGTCTAATAGTGTATTAGGGAACCCGTACCGCACGATACGTGGTGTAGGATGTCTGTGCTGACAGATTTGACGAATGACCAATTTTCTACTCTTGTGGTATCCTTTCCTTTTCATAATTAAGACAAATTACGTTTAGATTGCACGCTCCAACCATCACCAGGAAATGGCTCAGTGGTCTGTCGAACACAATCCGGAAGTTTAACATGTTTCTTCTCGTGTGACCCAGGATATGATCTCCTTGGTTTAAGTTCAATCACGTGTTTTGGTGGTAAATGGCGTGCCAAAGCACCAACATGTAAACGTAAGTTCCAAGTCATGGAAGACGGGAGGGGTGAGGTTATTTCGTCTTGCTTGTAATTACACGGCCTAATGAAAAACAACGATGTTGTAAATATAGTTACCGTGTATGAAGATGTTTTAATAACAGTAATAATAATAATACAACAAAAATCACCGGTAACTTTTCTGTTCTAAATACCGTATTTTAAGGAGTGAAATTATTTTCCGTGATGTAAATTTCAATAATGAAAACTGGCGTTATCGGTCGTACACGCGATGTTAATGAAGTTTTTTCTTCTTTTTTAGCCACAACCAGGCCTACGCTCTCGCACTGTCCGAATGACATTGTTGTTCCTACGATCCCAGGAAAAGATTATGCAACCGTTAATTGGAGGGTCCCCACAGCAACTGACCGAGATGGAGCAAACCTAAAAGTTGAAATCAATCCATCTATTTACTCTCCTCCTGTTAATAAGAGTATTGGTAGACAACTGGTCAGAGTCTCTGCAAAAGATAAAAATGGAGAAGACGTTCAATGTTCATTTAATATAACAGTCGAAGGTACAGTACTCTCCAGAAATAACCTAACAATAACCGCGGTTAATCTAGGTCAAACCTCGGTCTGATCGTTGCTGAATCGAGGTGAGACGGAAGTTTAACCTCGGCCTAACTCGATCTGACAGGCATTTCTTAAGATGTTTTCGATATGATTATTGTGTTGTCGTTTTCAGCTGTTCATAATATTTCGTTCGGACGGGAATGGCAACCGCGATCGTATTTTCCCCTTACGGTCGTCTGCGGTTTCTATCGGTCCACCGCAACCAAAACACAACCGCAGTGTTAGGTTATTATTTGATTTTTAACATTGCCACAGACCTGATCGAATATAGTTTGACGTTGATCAAAAGAGAATCGGATTAGGTTGAGAATATCGTCAACGCGAGATAACGATAAAAACGATTTAACGATAAAAAATCTTTTATAGATCGTGAACCCCCGTCATTTGGCTCAACCTGTCCGTCCAACATTCAACTATACACAGATAATGATGACAGCATCCGACAACCAGAGTCCTTCAAAGAACCAACAGCTACAGATAATGCCAAACCACCTTCTGTTCACAGTTCAGGCTTTCCTTCTGACTCATTCTTTCCTATTGGTACAACAGTGGTCAAATATACTGCAACAGACGATGCTGGATTAACTGCAACTTGTACTTTTAGTGTCACTGTTGTTAGTAAGTATTTCAAAGAATACCTCAGTTAGATACAATGGTCAGATATTTCTCCCTGCGCATGCTCTCATGAATATTACTGCTGAGGAACACATATCCATTTTTAGATGTTTGCAATGGTGTCACGTGTACTAAGGGAGCAAATTGTCGAGTGGACCAAACAACAAAAACTACACACACGTGTGCCTGCAGTACCATCTGCCTGCAACTTTACGACCCAGTTTGCGGGTCCGATGGTCAGGATTACAGCAATGAATGTCTCCTAAATGTATCGGCTTGTACGACAAGAAAAGATATCACAGTTGTTAAGAAAGGAAGATGCAAAGGTATCGTTTGGGATTAATGATATACTTTTATCGCTACTCTTTATTCAAATATCGTTATTTTTATATGCACCTCACCAAATGCAAATATTCATCGTCATGACGTCATCTAACCATAATTAATATTCGTTACGTTGTAATGCCTACTTATTAAGATGTTCAGATATAATATGGTACAACAAGAACTCTTTTCATGTTAAACCTGCCGATTAAAAAAATCGAAAAAAACTAGCATAACGACGTTACATCATGATCGAAACAGAATGATCGAAACCTGTTTTGTGAAAAAGACTTTGAAGTGCTTGATTTAGACCAGCGTCATATTCCATTATATTCTCAAGATTTCTTGTGTAATTTTAGCGGAATCTTTCTGTCTGTGTTATTTTGACTTTGAACCCATTTGTTTCTCTCATTTTTCTCGATAATATTAAACTTTTCCATGTTGTAAATCAGGTATGATTTTTGGTACCTCACTCGATGTAGGTAAATTCTAGAGGTTTAAAGGGTCTTAATTTCGAGTGGAATTATACACACTTCAAATTCAAGCCATGCAGGAACAGTTGATAGAAAAATGAGTCAACTGTAGGTCCTCCGGCTCGAATCGAACCTACGCTATTGCCAAGAGGCAAGAGCATTGCACCGGCATCGCAATAGCGTAAGTTCGATTCCTGTCGGAGAACCTATAGTGGACTCATTTTTCCATCAACTGTTCCTGATTTGAATTTCAAGTGTGTATAATTCCACTCGAAATTAAGACCCTTTAAACCTCTAGAATTTTCCATGTTGTGTTTAAATAAAGTCGATAAATATGTGTCGATAAATCTCGCTAAGCTCTACCCTTGTTAAATAATTTTTGTTTTCTTCGTGTTTATTAGACTGTACAAAGAAATGTGATTTTGGAGCGCAATGTGAAATTGTGGGTGGAGAAGAAAAATGTGAATGCAAGCGTACATGCGCAGATGTTAACGCTACTGTTTGTGGCTCAGATGGGAAAACGTACAAAAATGAATGCGAATTACAAAAGGAAAAATGCGCTGAACAGAAATATATCATTGTTATTAGGAATCAGGCATGTGGTGAGTTGTATAAACTTTGTGTACTTACAATATATTGTCGGCATAGTAAGTCTGTTTATTTGACGTAAAAATTTTGTTTTATCTTCGACTAAGTTAACTCTCCCCTCTCATTTCAATTCGTTCCTTTTCAACTGGCAAAGACTGTAAATGGGATGAAAGCTCAAGGTGTGAACGAGATGCCATAAAAAATGGTCTTGAATGGTCAAAAATGATTTGGACTATCTCTGCATGACCATCTATAACTGAAAGATGATAACGTGCTAAACTGCTCTGAGATGGAACAAGGCGTTTTTAACGCTATCTGTTACTTAATATTTCGGAACGTGATGAACTGCGTCAGCAGAGGTTTCCGGGGACAAAAATCTCGAGTTTTCATTTACTTTACGTCCCACCCTCAGGTTCAGTGCGCATGCTTGGCATTTCCAGAGGAAAATCTCAAAACGGAGACTGATGAACATCCAGTACAAAGGCGGGAAAAACTGAATATTATATGTTTACACGAATCTGTGTTATAATTTCATCATAGGCTGTGATGACCTCAATTCAAATGCAAAATCTTTCAACCGCTCGAGCACAATTCAATGTCAAGACAATGATAATTCCGTACAGTGTGTAGTCAAATGTAAAAGTGGATATAATGCAGTTTTCAACGATTTCTTGAAGTTACAATGTTATGAGAAGCAGTGGATAAGAGGAAACAACGCTGGGACATATGTCAGACTTGCTGACGTGAATAGTCCTCCGAGATGCTACGGTAAGTTCTTGATTGTCTTATTTGCTTGCAAAAAATCTGTACAATATGAACACGCATGCAATAATATTTCAACAATGATTAGTTTAGATTTTCTCCTACAATATGATACAATGATATTGAGATGATGAATGTTGAAGCTATCTGAAACAAAAAAGTTTAAATTGATACATGGAGATCGATGCAATGAAGAAATTATTCAAATTATTTCTTCAGAACCGACCACAAAACAAGCTAAAATTCCACACTGTTCGGAAGGTTTTATTACTGCAGTGTTTGTGTATACCAATCTCAATAATAATTCTTGGTCTTCTAAAAGCTTTGTTTCAATCTTATTCAGAAAATGTGAAATGTCCACAAGGCAGTTATTTCGATCAAAGCAAAACAAAGTGTGAATCATGTCCAGTGACTGAGTATCAAGATTCAGCAGGACAAACTTCTTGCAAGAAATGTGAATCCCCCAAGACGTCAACTACAACAGGAGCTGAGAATTGTTTCTTTGATTATGGTATGTTGTAGCTATAATGACACGTTTATATTGAGTAGCTCATTTACAAACATCGAGAAAAACGGCTAAATCAGTGAATATTAAACCTACTTTGGTCAACATTTTCGGCAGGGCTGCCGACCATGCCTCCTAGAGATCTTTCAATTTGCGGCAGTATATAGTGCGCATATATATAAATTATAGTGCGCATTCTTGAATTCTGCCCTAGTTCTTTCTTGTAAATCAAGGCATATCAAAGTTTCCGGTGTAATGTTTTTCTGGTATAGGTTTATATCAACTCTGCATTCTTAGTTAATTTCCACAAAGTATCGTTTTGTATGGTATTCAACGTGATAAATGGCTAAAATTTTGGGTTGGAAAATCAGGAAAATACTGATAACAATTTGGAAGGTCTACCTCAAAATATTTGGAGTAACTTGTTCAGTTGTTCTGCAACTATGGGCAAATGATAACCGACCTTCTAATAGTTATATTTTAGCGTTTTAGTACTTTGAATTACACAGTTTACTAGCTATAAATACACGCGGCTATATAGTTTGACACCATATATGTGTAAATTTTTCGCCGAAAGTACAATATTGATTTTGTCCTAATATTTTGGCCATGTTGGCCACAAAATATAAGGAACAAAACTTTCTGAAAACCTCCAATGAAATTTCGTTCCATGCACACAGCGCTGGTTTATGGTTAAACGACACCATAATAATTATAATGGGTCGAGTCTACAAAATAGCAAGTGTTGATATACCGAGTACCAGAAAGATGCCTCAAAGTAATTTTTTGCCCAGTGGTTCCAATGTAATGCAGAGTTGTTCTTCTTACACAAGTATCGCACTCTTTGGGGCAAGCAATGTCTTTGTTCTTTTACTAACATTCTGTTCAATAAATCATTTGTAAGTACTATCATCGATGTGATTACTTACGTATTTTTCCTGTTTTAGGCAAAAGCTACATCGTAATGAAGATTGAAGAGAAAGTATGTAGTTTAGAATTCTAATACATTCCGCTTTCCAGTTTTTCATGACTGAAAAGTTCCAGTTTCAATAATCCTTAAGACTTAACGGCCATTTTTCTTATTTATGCGCGCTCAACGTTCCATGGGCATAATCACTACTCGTATATTGTGAACTGTTGTAAGAAAAATATAAAATTTGTGTTTTTACTGATGTTTCATTGTCTCAAACTTAGGCCTCCAAAGATGCAATTCGCAATGATATTGCCAAAGCCCTGACGAATGTTTGCAAGAATTCTGCTAACATCTGTGAATTTGAAGAAAACGCGACAAAGTATGTGCTAAAAATATTCTACCTTACCTATAAACATGCATGATCTGTTGACTTCATACAGTTGTTGAATATGAACTTATAATGATGGAGAATTTTTTTTGCGCATATCTGCTGCTAAAGATAAACTAAGCAAAATTTCAGGCGTTACGACATAAAAGTGACCTTAAAGCCCGTTTTCCACTGGGCGAATGAATTTATTCGCGCGAACATATAAAAGTAGGAAGCGATTCTACTTTTTCGCGGCGAATTTTTTCGCAAACCAATCAATTCACCGGATTTTAAATATCGCTTCGCGTCGCGCGAATAAATTCGCCTAGTGGAAAACGGGCTTAAATTTCAAACGTGGAGAGGCAGGTATAGAATTGCGAGCTCTGGGCACGAGATTGACATCTAGAATGCTGCTTAATTTGTTTAGTTACGAGCACTGGGCTATATAATAATTCCTATATATATATATATGTAGCTCAGTGTCGTTACGAGGCATAAATATGCGCAAAACGGACCGCGTTTGCATAAATGCGGGCTCAACATTTTAAAATATTGAGTCGATTTCATTAATTTTCCTTTTAGTCGTAAAAAACGTAGCAGCAAAACATATGAATTCAAAGAGAAACATGTCATCATTACGAACACGATAGAAAGCGATTCAAAGGAAACGGAAGTCTATTTATTTGTTCTTGATCCAGACTCAACCTCATTACTTCCAAACAAAGCTTTCTCGTCAAAAAATCTTAAAAACATGATGGATCGAATAGAAAAGAACGATCTCTCGTATCCACTGAAATCTATCACCATCCCAAGGAATTCAGCATCCACTTCGTCAGAAGAAAAGTCGGCCTCAGTGGCGTCAGTGGTGGGTGGTCTTGTTGTAGCGGTTCTTATACTAATTCTTGTTGTGTTTGGTGTCTGGAGGTACAGACGTCACATCAAGAATAAAAGGTATTATAATTTATTAAATCCAAATAAAAACGAGGGATGTGGATTTATGTAATGTTTGTAAATTACGTTATTGAATCCCGACTAAATTTTTCAGCACTATCCCCCCAGTACAGTTCAACTCTTCTGGAGAAATGCAGATTGGTCATCCAACTGTCGATACTTCAAATCAGACTTTCGATGATCCTGATAGAATTAATGATGGCATTAGACACGGATTTGTCAACCAAGGTGAGTGTATTGTATAGTACGGCAAGGTATGTCATTGTATGGTATGAAAGAGAGAAGTATGAGCAAGGAATGGCGTAGAATAAGAAAAAAGTAGGTATTAAAAAGTCAGTGAGTGTACATGTATATTCCAAAGCCAAAACAACATAGCAAAGCTGGTATGGAATTCAGGAACTGTGTTCTAAGATCTATAAAAATGTTGTTTTTAGTATACAACGATGTTCATGCACCTCCTCCCTCTTATTATGCAAGCTCCCCCGTACACCAACCTACTGGCGAAGTTCCGCCCTGCCCTGTGTACGAAACTCCTGATGACGACCAGGCTGGTGCATTACCCGTGAAGGAGAAACTACCAGAAGACGCAGTGGTTGATATAATTCCTCCTAAACAAGTGAACGTCACAAACGAGAAGCCACTCAAAGCTGATTCTCCTGTCAAATTCTTCCATAAACGAACGAATCCGAATGTCTACGAGGTTCCCGACGGATCATTCTCGCAGCCTGCTGCGGATACTGAAGCTGAGTTAAGGTTAGCGAATGATTGTTATTTTGTAGTGGTTTGTGAATGCGTCTTTATGGCTTATGCGTCGCCATGTATGTCTGCATGTCCGTGACTAAGACATTTATGATCGTGCTTTTATGATCTTGCGAATTAGACAGGTATCATTTAGAGTGGAGTTACCTAAGGCTGCAGTATGAATATTATAGTTGCAATCTTGTAAACTCTTTCAGATTGGAGCCTCCGCCAAAATTTGATGATGCTAAACTCCAAGTTATTCGAGAAAAAACAGCCTCCTCTATTTTACCAAATGTTCCTCGAAAATCCAAGAAAAAAATCGATCCTGTAAGTGCTAATGCGGATCCGGACGAAAACACAGGTCACAAAGAACGTTCCGAATACCAAAATATCAGCGACGTGACAAAAGAACAAAGCGAAACCTAGGCATGCTGGTCATATGGCACCTACCTTTCCAAAACGAAAGGTTTTCAATTTCGTGGTAATTCACGTGATTAGCACGTGAGTACAGACATATCTTAAGACATTTATTTCATTTCATATCATGTAAATCTGTATTTTTAACTGTAACATGTATAAGCACGCTGCAATCTTCAGATATCAGGGACGAATTTTGAGTTCTTCCAGATATTTTTAAATCCACATTGTATAATATTCTTTCAACAACATGTTCTAAAGAAAGTTAGAACATTTATTTATAAATTACGCGTTGCAGGAGCACGTTTTGCTCATTTTACATGCAAGCGGTGGCACGATCAACGAAACTTGTATAGAATCAATCCAATTGTCCATTCTCATAATGGCTTCAAATGCGAAAAGCCTGGTGTTACACGACGTTTCATTGGCTTGTTAGTTTAATTTGCGCGGAGCCAATCAAACTTGGTGTAACTCTACTCACCAGGCTTTCGCGTTTGACATCATTATAAGAAAAGTCTAATCCTTTGATTCGTCCAAACGATTTAATAGCAAAAGACTTTGTCCATTATGAGAGCACTTATTTTCTGAAAAAGAATTGTACTTTATATCTTAAATGACTGTGTGCTCTAACTGATAATGTGTGATCTGCAGTATAAAAATTTCCCAATAATATTCTTAATAATATTCTCTATAATATTCACAAAAAACTCAATAATATTCCGACAATAACAACTAGGTGTAATACAGGGTATTAAAAAAAACGCAACATTTGATGAATTTGGTCTATTTGATGGCTTGTGTATGCGTGTGACGTCAGGATCGGATTAATTCGCTGTTGAGCCTGGAATCTAGGGAGATGTGTGGACCTAATTTTATTATCTATTGCTACGCGGACTCATTGCACTGACTCAGTGACTCATGCAAACTCATTATTGTTGTTTCCAAAGAAAAAGGCCTAAATCTACGTCATGGCCTTGAGATCTCGCCGCATCTACCCCTACGTTAGGCCGGCCTTGTTTTCGATCACTTCAATTGTAGCTGGAAATCCCAGGTGCGAAGCGCGTATTTAAAGACAAAAGGGCGGTGTTTTTTTGAGGTTACATGCATTTCTTTGCAACCCTTATATTTAATACGGAATTCGTTGTTATGCGAAATACGACATATTGAGACCGAACATCAACACTGAATTACACCATGCTTGTGAATTACGACGCCGGAATTATCGTCGACGAATTATGTTATATGAAACCAGCGGCAAGATTCAGTCCCCGTTCATAAAATGTTCGGCTTTTGTTTTATTCTTTTGTTAATGTTTTTGCAAACTTGTTCAGGAATAAAACAATAATAATTCCTTTATAATAACCATCGTCAATTAGCATCACATCAACCAATCGCCTTACGTTTGTAATATGCAAAATTTTAAAACAGTGCACGTTGAAGCCGTCTGATATCAAGATTTAATAGCCGGTGCAAGCAATACTGCTTTCATTTCTAATAAAAACTCTCCAGACTATGGACAAATACAACGTCAACGTTCTCGTCAACTATTACATCATTGACATTGATTCTCGAAGGACGAACGTGAATGAAACACTCCGATTCACACAACGCGACATCTTCGTTTGCCGTTACGGAGCAACGGTAAGTAGAAAATGCTTATTTGATATTGAATTGGCGAATTTTTTCAAGTCTCTGACATCTAAGATCTTCGTTGTCTTTTATTACTAACAAAAGTTGGTCCGAGCTACTTCTGGTAGCTACGTGCAGTCTGTAAACATGGAGGGACGAAGTTGTTAAAACTTTATGTGATTCAACATGCATGATTCCCAAGTACATGCATGCATGCGTTCGATGTTATTTATTTGAGTGTTCTAGCCTCTAGGCGTAAATATATAGCACTGAGGCAAGATTGCTGATGCTGACTCGCGTATTCAGTGATCTCTGATGGAGATTGCCAGACTTCAGATGGCGCGGGAACCAGACAAAACGTCAAGTGTATACTTGTCAGGATTTAATATGGGAAACTACAAGCGTAGGAACTATTATTTTTTTGCAATTCATTTTTTTTTCCAACTAACTCCAACTCAAAATTTGTAGTCAAATGTTATAAATGGCAATCGTATATTGCTCAAAACAGCCACTGAAACGCTTGCTTATAATTCACAAGATTTCTAATTTCTCATTATATTGTTCAAATATTTTTCAGGAATATTCTGAGTCAAGTTTCTATATCACATATCATCATGGTGAGTGCTAATCAAATCATACAGACGATATAAAACTAATTACTAATATCATATATATAATATAGGTACACCGAGCAAATCAACTGGGCAAATTTTGCGTAAAGGTCACGTCTCAGTTAATCACAAGGGACTGACTTCAAGCATTTCAACGGCAGCGTGGCGACGACGCGCCTGAAACATATTCCTTCATATTAAAAGCTACGCAATGTGAAGAGTTGTTGCATTTTATCAATGGTATGAATTTAATTAATTTTATTTCAGATTTAACATACCAAATCTTCAACAGAATCCAATCTTATGCGTGCATCTATTCAATCGTAGATTTTGTAAGAATCGTTTAAATGATTTTAATATTTTTACCTGTATATGCATGCGTGTGGCGTACGTGCAAAAACACGACAATGAAAAGCAGACCAAAGTGGCAGAGACCTCCTCTATCTGCGGCCGTGTTTAAACTGGGCCTGGCTTAGATTTTAGTAGCGTAACGGCACTTTGGCCTGGCTAAAGTCTGACCTCGACCACGACATTATAAGGAGAAGGCTTAGACCAGGCGTAGGCTTGCAGTTTAATAATGGCATGCCATGTGGTTCTGACTGGTATAGGCGAATTTGTTGTCAATATCTTGTTTTAAGGGATGTTTGCGGTGAGAATGTGGAAACCTAAAAGAAAAATCATGTTTATGATATGACGTTACTTTGCCTCAAATGCAACAATATTTAATTTAATTTTTACCACTGGTGTTGCTGTTGCCCTTCTAGATTGTCAAACCCTCCAGTATTGATCAGGCATGTGCTATTTCTGCATGGGTATTGCCTGTGACATACTATAAGTGGATATAAACTAGGCAAGATGGAATAGTCTTTGGGAAAATATATAGTATCATTGATCGCTGATGCTTGCTTGACCTATAGCTGCATGTGTCAACTATCTATAGTTAAATTATTTATTTCATGACTATTATATATAAAGAAGCAAATAAGGTTTGTGAGTGAATCGGGAAAATCGTGCATGGTACAACAGGTATAACATTGCAGTTGCGATTCAGAAGCAAGAAGACATTTTACAATGCCGGTTATAGAACTACCAAGATACAGTCAATAAACAAAGCTAGAAACAAAAAAAAAATTTCTTTTGCGAGGTCCGGTACTCTATATATTAACTTGGGAGAATTGATGTTCTTGGCTGGCGCAACGACAACTTGAGTTGGCGTCTTTAAAAAAAATCCATTCGCTTTCCACAATACGACCCATCTTGAATTGTAGGGTAAGAATTCAAATTCCAATTAATAAAGGCTGTTAATGTTTAGAATTTTCGTTGATACTTTTACGAGGCATTATAATCGTTATGAAGCCTTCGTTTTAACGCGTAAAGGACACGCATAAGTTGAAGGTGCGTCATTATAATTGATGAAGTGAATATCGAAGAATCGTAATAATAAAGCACAACATGCATCATGGCCGCCACCCGTTTCACCTATTCTAAAACGCTATAGAGCGTATATTCTAAAATTTAGAACAGCGCTCGATAGCGTCACTGAGTTGCAACCTGAGCAACCCACAACGGGCTTCGACCACATGTGTGCAAGATGGCGGAACGTTCGGAGAAGTACGATCTATTAGACGATGACCAAAAAACGATTTTGCGTGGTTTCTTCGAGCGAGGGATGACAACGACACGCAAAGATGTGAAGGAACTAATAGAAGAAGCTGCAGTAAAAACAAATGTTAGCGTTGCGCGTGTGAGGGTAAGTTTTCTTTGTATTATATATATTGTATGTCTGATATTGTCATTGATTATTTATCATTATGTGCGCCAACAAAATACTAGGACGGTGGAGCCAAAGGCTAAATTTCAATAAATTTGCATTTATTACTACAAAACTATATTTATATAGACTTGTACCGACGCGCTTTGCCAGTGCGTACGATGTTCGACCACCATTTCCATGGCATTATCATTCATTTTACTTAATTCTCGTGCACTCTGACTCAGTAGTCAGTATAATTACTGATCGCTTTATTCAAATTTTCAATGTCTGCTACGGTACGTACAGTATATGAGATTTAACTCGGAAGTACTGTAGTGTAGTTCAGTAGTTGTAGCAAGGTTAACTTATTAGTATTACATATTTTGTGATCAGTTATGTAACTAATAAAGCTGCAATGTTCACAGCTCACACTGCATTTACTGATTTTAATAGTCTGCCAAAGCATTCACAAATTTAACCGAGTCAATGTCCAGCTATTTGCTGCCAAATGGATTTCCATGAGTAATATGTATCATCATCAATGATGTTTACTATCATGGTTGCTGCTGTCTCTATCTTATAACCAAATTAACCCTTTATCAGCAGTTTTTCTGGGTTTCTCCCCTTGACAAGTACAAATTGTTCCCTGGAAAGCTTGAAACAGGTTGCCGATACTGAAAAGTAAGACTACCGGTACTGATCTGACAGGTTTTGCTGGTACTCAATAGACTAGTCAATGCATGTGAAGTGTGAACACAGCTAACTACTTGCAATCCAGCCACAGCACAATTAATTAGTGATAAGGCCAGACAACTTTATTAAGTAATCCATTACAGCTCCCAGTAGGAAACTGCCTCTTAATAGATTTTACTCTTGCTAACACAACACAGTTTTATTGTCATCAAGGGGAGATTTACCCCTGGCAGAATTTCATGTTCCATCTAATTTTTAAAACCTACCTGTATAGCAGATTTGACTGTGAAAATAGTGAGATAATTAATTAATTATGAGACATTTAAACCAACCCAATTTTAACTTTAGAAATGGATTGGGAATGAGAGAAAAAGAAAGAAGTCGGGGCAGGCACTGGATGATACAAACCAACAAACAAAAAGGCACTGCAGAAGCAAGCCACAGACCACCGGGTACAACTTGTTTTGCTCATATATACTGAATTCAGGTAAGAATACAATTAAAATCATGTGTTACAATATTAACCTTGGTTTCTGGGTTAAATATTTCACATTACCATCGGGGTTGCCAGGTATTTGTGTTCAGGGGTCCAGTTATCATTATACCATATGCAATAATTTCTCAGGAGGGGTTGTGTACTTGTACAATTGCTACCTTTCTAAAGTATTATGTACATTTCTCTTGGCAGATACATGCCAAGAGCTGAGCAATAACTCTGACAAATTAAAAATGGCTGTAACAACCTGGAACTCACTGACTGTCGAAGAACAAGAATGCTGGAAAAAAAAAGCAAAGGATGC